AAGCCGAGCCACCTTGGGGTGGCTCGGTGGCCGAGCCACCTCAAGGTGGCTCGGCCCAGAGCCGAGCCACCCTGAGGTGGCCGGCCCAGATCTGTGCCTAGGCACAGATCTGAGTGCCTATAAATAGGCTAGGCCTTGGTTCATTTTTGAGGTTGGAAATTTTGGAGAGGCGAAGCCCTGCTGGATTGGAGACTCAGAACTTAACAAGATTCAAACTTTAGGACTTCAAGGACTTGCTCATCCAGATCTGGTGCTCGGCGACCGTCAACGCCAAATAAGGCAGGAGTTCGAGAGGACCAGATCTCAGATCTACGCGTACGAACTCCGGATCTAAGCTTGGTCTTAGATCCCGAGACTTGAGCGATTGTTTCCTTGGTGAATCAATCCCTCCCGGCTATTATTTCCTTCGTGGAATAATACCCGTCGTACTGCTCAGATCTGACCGGATCTAGATCTCGTGGTGGTCCACGGCAAACAACCCCGGCGCAGGCAAAGAACCCACAAAGCAAGAGACCGCAAAACAGGATCTTGCGATTCGTTCGACAAACAAGGAAATAAAGTTGTAATCTTTCTTTACTTTTATTTGATTTTCATTGTAACCGGATCTTATAAAAAGACCGGATCTTTTGTAACCGATAAACTGTTGTAAAAGAGAACAATGAATTCAACAAAGAAAGACACGGTTTTTCCCGCGAACAACCCTAACCCTCAACCTCAACCTCACCATCACCCCCACCCTCACTCTCACCTAACCCTACCCTAACCCTCACCTTCACCCTCTCCTAACCATAACCCTAACCCTAACCTTAACCCTCAAACTCACCCTCACCCTCACCGATCCCTAACCCTCACCCTCACCCTTACCTTAACCCTAACCCTAACCCTAAACCTCAATCTCACCATCACCCTCACCCTCACCCTCACCTAACCCTAACCCTCACCCTCACCTTCACCCTCTCCTAACCCTAACCATAACCCTAATCTTAACCCTCAAACTCACCCCCACCCCCCCCCCCCTAATCCTACCCATAATCCTAACCCTAACCCTCGCCTAACCCTAATCCTAACTCAAACCCTCACCTAACCCTAACCCTAACCGACACCCTCACCTTCACCCTCTCCTAACCCTAACCCTAACCCTAAATCAAACCCTCACCTAACCCTAACCCTAACCCTCACCTTCACCTTCACCCTCCCCTAACCTTAACCCTAACCTTAACCCTCAACCTCACCCTCACCTAACCCTAACCCTCACCCTCACCCTCACCTTCACCCTCCCCTAACCCTAACCCTAGCCTTAACCCTCAACCTCACCCTCACCTAACCTTAACCCTAACCCTCACTTAACCCTAACCCTAACACTAACCCTCGCCTAACCCTAACCCTCAACCTCACCCCCACCCTCACCCTAACCCTAACCCTAACCCTCACCCTCACCCCCACCTCCACTCCTCACCCTCACCCTTACCTAACCCTAACCCTAACCCTAACTTTCATCTAACCCTAATCCTAACCCTAACCCTCACCCTCACCCTCACCCCCACCTCCACTCCTCACCCTCACCCTTACCTAACCCTAACCCTAACCCTAACCCTAACTTTCATCTAACCCTAATCCTAACCCTAACCCTCAACCTCACCCCCGAACTCACCCTAACCCTAACCCTCACCCTCACCCCCACCCCTCACCCTTACCCTAACCCTCACCTAACCCTAATCCTAACCCTAACCCTCGCCTAACCCTAATCCTAACCCAAACCCAAACCCTAACCCTCACTCTCACCATCACCCCCACCCTCACTTAACCCTAATCCTAACCCAAACCCTAATCCTAACTCTAACCCTAACCCTCACCGAACCCTAACCCTAACCCTCGCTAATCCTAACCCAAACCCTAATCCTAACTCTAACCCTAACCCTCACCGAACCCTAACCCTAACCCTCGCCTAACCCTAACCATAACCCGTATTAAATTTAATTTTTTATATTATAATTTTATCAAGATGAACATTTTTTATTAGGGTTTGCGTTTTTTGTACAAATTTTTTGTTTTGCCAAAATTAAATTCTAATTGTAAAAATTAAACTATAATTGTAAAAATTAAACTATATTGCAAAAATTAAGAAATCTCTCTTTCTCTCCCCCCCTCAATCTCTCCTTCTCTCTCCCTCTCTCTCGTCGGCCGACGCCGGCGGCCGTTGGTCGGCTCGCTGCCGGCGTCG